AGATGATTTTTGATTCAGAATAAATGCATGTACATGTATTCCAGAGAAGCTAGGTGAATAAAATGAGAAATTACCTTCTCTCCACGACTGGAAAGACATTTTGTTAGCTAGAAATTCACCGACAGCTGCCGCTTAAACATACGGCTGCACAGTTAAGGATTTCTCCTATAACTGATTTAAAACGCCAAGAAAATATTGTCTCTTGTCACTTTCTCGACATAAATAAGGAGTATCAAACTATAGAATTATGAAGAATTTTATGACAACGTTATCAAAAAAAATTACTTCACAAAATTGTCCCTTTAACTGAGCATGCTAATAGTTTTAATTTTCAGAAGAAGTTGCTTGAACCTTTAAAGATATTTGACCAATGTGACCTTGAATATGGTTAAGGCTCATTTATTTAAACCGACTTGGTATGCTCCCTGCATACCACTGGCCAATTTCATGACCCTAGAACTTCTGGTTATTCTAAGAAGTTGTTAAAAGGTTTAAATATAGTTCAACCTGTGACCTTGATTATGGGTAAAGGTAATACATGTGAACTTGGTAGCCTTTCATCCATGCACGTTACTTGTCAAATACCATTTCCCTGTACCATTTGGTTATTCACAAAAAGTTGTTTTGAGATTTTATTCAGGCAATTGAACCTTGTGACATGGAATATAGGATATGGTCATTCATTTGAATACATTTTGTACCCATTCATACCTGCATGCTTCTGGCCAACATTATCACCGTTGGCCTTTTGGTTATTCAAAAGAAGTTCTTTGAAGATTCTTTAAGACAAATGCCTCTTGTGGTCTTGAATGTGGGAGAAGGCAATTCATTTGAACAAATTTGGTAGCCCTTTTCCAAGCATGCGTCTGGTCAGATATCATCACCCTGTACTTAAACGTTATCCAGAAGAAGTTGTTCAAATGTTCTCTAAGACAACTGACATATGTGGCCTTGAATAGAGCAGTAGGCCATTCATTTGAACAAACTTGATAGCCCATTATCGAAGCATACTACTGGCCAAGTAGCATCACTTTGTGCATTTTTGTTATTCAGAAAAAAAGTTTCTTAAATGCAATTGACCCCTGGTGACCTTTTATATGGTTGAAGGTTAATCATTTTCACATCCTTGAATGCTACTGACCAAATGTCGTCTTTTGGGAAGTCATTAAAAAGGTGCTTAAATATTTGTTTTTACATTTTTGAACCCATTGACCTTGATTGTGGGTGAATGTTTTTTTATTTGACCCAACTTTGTAGCCCTCTATCCCAGCTCCCTGCAGGTAGGGCGTAAGAATTGTACCTGCTGCCCCCATTTGCATGATCGTAGGAGGCGACTAAATTTGGGACCCTATCTCTTCTCTCCTTTCTAAATAGCTTTCTTCTTCCTAATGTCTCCCTTGACAATGCCTCACTTTTGGCCATTTGTTGAGCGTTCGCCCCTGTGAGAAAGGCTTTGGGTTCTGTCCCCTAGCCGAGACATACCAAAGTCTTTAAAAATGGTAGTTTCTACTCCTGCTTAACGCTCAGCAAATTAGGAGTTGGACGACTGGTTCGCCCGTTGTCATTATAATGTGACCGGGCGGGGCGTCCTGCTGGGTCTCTTCGGCAGTATGTTTCAGTGAGGTAGCATTATAAAGTCGGCATCATTTCCGCGCTATCACAAGGATACAAACACGAACATATCGCAGCATCCCAAAATACACACACATTCACTACACGCATGCATTTTGCACACAGGGGAGGCCGTCCTTAAATTACCCTAGCTGTAAATAGGACGTTAAACAAAATAAAACCAATTAATATTCCTCGCTTGCAGGACATATTGTAGGTTACCAGTATTAAGGTAAGGTTAAAACGTGTGAATATCGTGTTGTTGAGACATAATGTATAGCTTGAAACCAGAGGGCTTGTATCGCTCACCTGAATATATGTTTAAAATGATTGGTATGAAGTAAAGATATAGCACTCCATGGTAGGTGCTGTAAGTACATATGAAATTTCAGAAAGATTCATCCAGTACTTGAGACATAGCAAGAACAAACTTCAAACAGAGCCCCACCCCTATGTCCCTAGGGGTGTCATAGCCATCAATTATACAAAATTGAGTCCCCTTGACCCAAGGATGCTCCAGACTAAATAAGGACAGACCTGGGTTTACATTATTAAGCATATGTGTAATTTTTACTGCCCCAATGTGTATTTTGCTCAGCCAATGTGTATTTTGCAATATCAATAGATTAACTGTAACAAAAAGTAATTCATCATGCTACATTCAGTAAATACGTTGTTTATTGTTATTATGTGTCAATTATCAAACATAATAAAACTTTCAATTCATTTAAAACGTTCTGTTTTAATTTCATGTCTTCATGCAATATCTCTGAGTTCACAAGGCCTGATATGGGGTCCATGTATCGTACCACCAACGGATACTGCTTGCTTGACTCGTCACCTCCACCATCGGTAGATATCGTGAATGGACCACTCTTTATTCTATCAACTAGACTCTTGGCTAAGTCTTGATTAATAGCTGTGGTTTTGTTTCTATCACACTTAATTTCTGTAATTTTATAAAAAAAAAAAAAAAATACCACTTGTACCTTTGATATACTGAGGTAGATCTATTGACTGAAAATTGAAATAAATGAGGAAAACTATGCATCTAATATCTATAATTCTTACATGTATTTATGATTGTTTTTAATTAAATGGATTTAGTATAAAAATAACATTTAGCAGAAGGGATAGCTTTTATTGTTCAATTCATGAAGTTTGCCGCTAGGCAAGCCTACTAATTAAAATTCGAAAATCCAATTACTGCCCACTATTTTTACTTTTGTATACAACTAAGTGTAAGGACATGCTATTTGTTTTTTGCAGGGTATTTTTCCTTTTTCTGAATTTTGTTTAGACAGTAGTTTTAATGTTAAAATGTTTCAAGAACAGTCGATACTTAAAACATGTGATAGTGACCTACCTCGCGCAATCTTGGAGTCCGGGAACATGATTTTGAAGGCACTACAGAGCGTGTTTGCAGTGCTCAAACTAAGGTTTAAATCTGCTAAGCCTAGCACATAGTGAACAAAATACGAAATGTGACCCCTTTTGTGATTTCTCAAGCAAGGGCCATTCCTCACTATGTGTCTCTGAATTCCTGTAGTCGCACAATTTTTTTGGGGGGGTGAACATGGGTCAGCATGACTGTCGTCAGTATGGTTTCGTTTTGACATTGCAACCTTGACTGCCAAGATCAGCATCGTGTTGACGCTTTGACATTGAACACGAAACTATCATCTCATTCAAGCGCTGAGATCACATACACGCTTCATAGCAAAACCTGCATCATTAAAGCGCTCATTTGAGGGAGAACAAAAGCGCTAGTTTAAGGAAGATCACTAATCGTCTTCTCCTTCTAGAAGGTCAATGCGTATGGTGTATTTTGGACCTCTAATTGTGTCCTAAATATGCCAAATGCGTATACATACCCATATACTCCACTGAAAGTGGTCATCGAACTTTGCCGAGCCCTTAAGGCATTTAACCCTGTGCCCAATTTTGAAGAAAATCAGTTAACATTTGTTGTAGTTATTGCACGGAAACGAAACGCAGCAGATAATGACGTTTTTCGTTATCCAAGGAGCCATAACTCTGCCAAAGGGGGTTTGCTGTAATATGGTCATCAAACTTGGCGGAGCCCTTAAGGCATTTCACCCAGTGACCAAGTTTGAAGAAAATCGGTTAACATTTGTTGTAGTTATTACACGGAAACGAAGCGCGGCAGATTATGAAGTTTTTCATTATTCAAGGGGCCATAACTCTGCCAAAGGGGGTTTGCTGTATTTGGTCATCGAACTTGGCCGAGCCCTTAAGGCATTTCACCCAGTGACCAAGTTTGAAGAAAATCAATTAACATTGTGACGTGACAGACAGACGAAGCCAAATTAATACCCCCCGTTTCAGTGAAAGCGGGGGATAAAAATTGACACAGAACAAACAACGGACGCCACGACACGGCATAAGCTCACTTTGTCCTTAGGGCCAAATGAGCTTAGAAAAGAAAAGTGCAAAATATTGCAAATGTTCGACTCGGGATCGGTTAAGTTATATTGTATTTAACGTCCTTTCAGCAGCTAAGATAATTTAAGGACGCTCCTTCGTGTATTTTATGTAAGGTGACAGTACCCAAATCGGATCACCAAACCGTCATTTTATTAACTCATTGAAATATCTTAGGAGGAATTATATTCATTTACGGTTGTATCAAAAGAAGAATATCCACGGGTGTTCTTACAAACGAAATTAGCATCCGGGGTTCACTTCGAGATATTTATAAAACGCTCTGAAGTCGCCAATCACCGTGTCCGTTTTTTGCGAATGTCAGGACCCAAATCGGATCAAGGCTTTAATTTTGCAGTATGTTACGCTTCACATGAATATATTTTTGTCAGCATATTAACATTTTATGATGACCTTCAGAATTTATATAACAAAAAGTATTTCTATAGTGTTAATTTATTCCTATAGTCCAAAACAGAATGCGTAGTCGTCGCACACGCCATTTTTTAATGCAATTCTAGTTCAATTTGAACTAATCATCTGTAGAAAATAAATGTTGCATGGCTATCTTTTCTAAGACTACGTCATTGTTATAACTGATTTGTTGCCACATTTATTCATTTATAAGGATTTTATGCAAAAAGTGATCCGATTTGGGTACTGCCACCTTATACTTGAAGATGTGTATGTGTGTCCGAAGCAGGGTATGTTGGTGGTAGCGCGGATCTGATGCCGACTTTGTAGTGCTATATCACCGAAGTACCATGCCGACGGCACCATCACAGCACCCAGCACAGCACTCCGCCCGGTCAATGAAAACGGGTAAACCAGTTGTTGCTAGACAGAACCCAAAGCTTGTAAATAATAGAAAAGGAAAACTAGAAATACTGCAAAGGGTCTTGCAATTAACAAAGTTAAATGTTGAATGCAAATTAACACATTACCTCCTTTCTTGATATGCATCAGTGTATACACGACAATCCACAGTTGTATCTTCATGTCGCCTCTTTCTAGCTGCACCTTAAACAAACGAAACGTCCTAGTATTATCTACCTAAAGAATGAAACTACCAAAAATCAAAATCATGTTTCGCTAATATATATCTATATATATCTATATATATCTTATTATACTTAACTAATATAGTTAATAATTATGCTGAAGTCCTTATGTCTCTATATAAAGAGAAATAATATTTAGTAAATAAACACACATTATTGAAGGGACATCACGTGAAGAGCCATATGTTTTAAATGAATGTATGTGTTGTATGCACTTCAACTTATGTTACCTTGCTATCCCCATATTCATAGTCCGTTCCAAATGTCCAGTTTGACCACTTGAATTGTTCGGGAAAGCCCTGTTAAAAATAGCGCCTGGCGGTTTTGAAACGAGGCAGTAAACACAGGTGGTCTGGACGAGATCCAAAGGGACCCCCATAGATCTAGTGGGGCCGTTAGGCAACTGCAACTTCTTACCGCACTATGAAACTAAGTAATATGATATCTAAGTCCGTGTTGAAACTTATTGAATCAGAAATTATTCATCTTCCGAAGTTAATTGCACACATGCCAATATTCAGAATTTAAATAAAGAAATATTTGTTGGTAACTCGGCATTATTTATAGACACCAGGAAATATAGATTACCGGAATGTGACCGGTACAAATGGAACGGGGCTAAACACCTTCCTTCAACCAAGGGACAAACCTTTCTGTTAAAGGAATATTCACGAGACGAATGTCCCTTATAAATTGTTTTCATAAAGTGTATATATATGCATTGACAAGTATAAAAAAGAAAAACGGTTATGATATCTTTGGCTTCTTTTTTTTCTAGACCATGCATTACATATATTCATGTATACTCTCTTTCCCACTTTCACTGTCTTCATACGATAACACTTAGTAAGTCATATTAGCCAAAACCACTCTACGTGTACATGTAGAATATGTGTCAGATAAGGAACGTGTTGAGATACTTCATAATTATATGTTTTCAATAATTTACATAGATTAAAGCATACTTGCAATTGAGCCCTTTTTATGTTGAGACTAACTTTTCTTTAATCAGTTATTTTTGTCCGAAACAGAAGCCTTAATTATCGGCAGCACGCGTCATTTTTTACAACGTTAACAAATTACTTTTTCCCTCGTTTTCAATGCGTATTCCGATTCTATCTGAAGTCGAAAATTAATCATTTATAGAGAAAAAAGTGTTGCATGATCAAACATTCTAAGTCAATATCATGTGAAAACATGAACTGTTGAAACATAACGATTTAAAAAAATATTTTTGTTATGCGATCCTTATATTATCAGCAGGTTCTCCTTCCTCAGTTATTCATCATGAACCGTCATTTTGACATATTTAAATCTTGCATATAAATAAAAAAAATCGTTTACTTCAGCAATATAATTGAACCATATCATTTTACTGAACCCGGGAATATTATAAATTATGTAAATCTAATAGTGCATGTATCTCACAGCGGCGGATGCAAGGGTGTTGCCCTAGTATCCCAGCAGATTAAGTCAATATTCAGCAAAATCGTTCAGTTTGTGATACAAGCATAAAAAAAAAAAATGTTCTTAATATAAAAATTGACTTCATGGTTTTACAGAGAAGCCAAATAAATATAATTTACCCTGTTTTGAAGCTCCAACTATCCTTTACGGGAGAAAGAGAGTGAGTGTCAAAGGACAACCACTCAGCATGGGATTCAGTGTCGGCGAATGATTTACTTTTGTATAGTTTAGTGTCCCAAATGTTTTCTTTCTGCTTCAAGTGTCACTAGGACACGGCAAATGCACCAGGTTACAGTAAGCACTCTCTACATGCTTCTAAAGGAAGCCTATGGGTTTTGCTGTTCAGAGGTCAATGAACAAACACAGGATGTGCTAAGTATCAAAGACTGGTGTAGACGACGCAAAACTGAAAGTCCACAATTTCAATTCTAGAATCTAGTGTTGACAATGGAATTAACAATCTTGTCCCTGGTCCGATCATTTCGAGAAGCAGACTTTTCAGCGTTGGCAATTGACCAAGCTAATGAGCAAGCGAATGTTGTTATCAAAGGTGATGATGGTGATATTGGTGTGACCGAAGACCCATCTACACTACGACGGTGGATGGTAGCCGAACATGAAGTTGGTCACTTGGTTGCTCAGTATGAATAAGCATCTGAAGCCAAGGATGCAACTGAAAATACCAGACATCACGAACAGACAGAACCGACACAAAAGGCTTTCTTCGACAAAGTACAGAAGCTGTACATTGTAATGAAAGATATGGGTAATCCATTCATGGAAGAGACTGAGGATCTTTTAACACTGGATACAAAAAATATTGCCCATTCTAGTGCTGCTGAAATGCTTGCTTCTCATTATGATAAAGGTAAAATTCGCTTCAATGAGTTCATGAAAGGGCTGGATAAAGAGGAGTGTTCATTTTATCAGCCAATAAAAAAGAACAAGACAGATTTCTTTCGGCAAAAGCCAGAACCGAAAGCGGGTGTTTCAAAAAGGAAGAACACTTAAAGGACGAAAGTCGTCTGTTCTCTACACTTTTTATATCCTGCCAGTCTAGAAAATGTGACCTGATGGATTTTTTTCAGCATGAGAATCAATCTTTTCCCGCTGCACTGAGTGATAATGGTAATCTTCAAAGCTGTCAGAAATCGCAGCTTGCGACAATTCTAGAGACTTCCTTTACTCATCCTGATACTGAGCCAGAAGCTGACGTCATAGTTTTGGACGGATCGGCTTTAATCAATTCATTGCCTCCGAGGATATCGAAGACGTTTGAGGAATAGGCAGAACTAAAGGTAATCCCAAAAGTACAAGCATATGGTTGTATTTATACGAGAACAGATATTGTGATTGAGGTATACTGGTCATCTAGTTTAAAAGCTGAAACACGATCAAAGCGTGACATAGGAGCTAGACGCAGAGTGACTGACAAAGGTAAAATCCCACAAAATTGGATTAGCTTCATGAGAGACAACAGCAACAAGACTGAGCTATTCAAATTTCTCGCGGATAAAATTGTGAAGATGTGTCCAAATAATACAGTTATAGTCACTCAAGAAGAGGGTGTTGTCTGCAATCAGTCAATAAGTCTTGAAGGTCTCGAACACTGCAATCATGAGAAAGCAGACACACGAATCTTCTTGCATGCAAAACATGAAAGTCACCCCATCATTCTGTATGATCATTTTCCGATAAATCATTGACCAAGCTACAACGGATATATTTCCATCTGTCAATCAAAATAGTAAACAATTACCAGGTGTAAATACATACATGCTGTTCAGGTAGCCATGGCAACACAGGGAATTAATAGGAAAGCATGTCGCAAATATAACGATAGCGTTGACCGACACCTCGAATACGGGGAGACCTGGCATGGGCAAAGCAGGTAATTGGAATGTAACGATGTTGTTTTCACAACAATAAGTTTCAGAAAAGATTCAATCTAATATACGGATAAATCTTCTACTATTTTTTGTTATGAAATAAACTTTTCCAAGTAGTTTTCTGATCGTCTGCAAATCCGACTGAATCGGTCATCGATATCGACAGAATGTGTACTGTACGCTTAAAGGCAGTCACTCCGACGAGGACCGCCAACAGCCGAATTCGCAAGACATGAAGAACACCAAACAATTGTGATATCAGCAATTCTCATTCGAAAAGAAAAGATCGGAACGTATTTGGCTGTTTTGAACCCGTTGATATTTAATTTTCAAACTCAAACTTTTATCATTATCGGTTCAATTCGCATTGGATGTCATTTGTAAACTCCTGCCGGTTAATAGTACCACGCAACTGCGACCCTTTGCGTTATACAAACTTGCTAACTTCGCCACTTTACCCGTGTCGTTTTGACACATACCTACGGACAAGATTGAAGAGTTCAGAAAGATTTTACCCAAGAACAACATTTTAACCACAGAGTAATAAATCCGATGCAATTCTTCGTTATGTTTCCCGATACGTGGTATTCATCAATTCACAACGTAACGTCCTGAAAAGTTGAGCCTACTTTACTCGAGTTTATTTATCCGATTCTATAGGATTATATGACTTAAACTTGCAACTTTTCGTAATTGTTAAATTGGCAATGCAATCAGGGATGATCCTCGAAAAATTTACGAGAAATGGTCGCGACCAAGGACTGGTTTTGGATTGTTCTTGAGTATCGTGTACACACCCCTTTCTTGACACTTCATTTTCCCCTTAAAAAAGTGCGCAATATACGCAAATATTAACGGTAGTCGTTGGTCAGACATAAAATATCTAAATCAGTCAATAGCAATTTATAATACGACAGTTTACCCCTTCGGGAACCTCAAAGGTGCCTGATTCATACTCGGAACATCTTTAGGTTATATGTAATTCCCGTGTGGGAATTTGGAACGCTTTTAGGTTTTACACTATTCCTGTTTAAAAAGGAAATCGATATCTGAGTTATCCAAAAGCTTGTAATTAGCGCCTGGTATATTCCGACAGAAGCAAGATACACAACAGCCCTCCTAACAGAGGTCAAAATCTGGGACTGAAACCAAAATCAATAGTCCCCACTGGGGTTCCCCCAGGGGTGGCTAAAAATACTAGTTGCTGGGGTCAAATTTTAGGTCAAAAATAGCATTTTGTGGCATTATTTGGTAATTTTTTATGTGGTAACCATGGTCTTCACACAAGTGACATACATAGAAAAAAGAGGTCTATACACTTATCAGTACTTTATATGTATTGTAAATGTAATGCAGTTTACAAATATATATACATGTATATATGTTTTGTGTAGGGTAAATCCGCTGTTTACATTTCCTCGACATGTGCCTTGTTTTTCAGAATCGGGCCATTTCTACTGTAGACAGCTGCCTAACATTGTCATTATCTCTAGGCCTAAGGGTGTTGCCCAAACATCACTGATTCACTACACTAAACGATAGGGATTTAATCTCCTTTTGTCAATTTCAACATGTGTCCAGTCAGGTCAATGATAATCTGGTC